CGGGACACATAGGTACCGGGACACATAGGTACCGGGACACATAGGTATGACCCCCTCCCCCCATTACCACGACTGTCTGCATGACTGAGCGAAGCAGGAAACATGACAGATGCTTACAAGGTGTCGTTGGCGGCGTCATCGCTGTACTCGGAGTAATCGAGGTCCTGCACATACACCTCCAGCAGACTGTTCTTCATCGACAACTCATGGCGTAGCTGAGAGATCTGTGTATGTATCACAGAAAGCCAGCATGACATACACAGCTAAGAGTAACAATATTGAAAACAACAACAATGACAACAACAATTGCAATAACAATATGGACGAAAAACTGCAAAAACAACAATAAAAACACTAATAGCAACAATGACAACAAAAACTGCAACAATTACAATAATAGTGATAACATCAATAACATAAACAACAACAACAACAACAACAACAACAACAACAACAACAACAACAACAACAACAACAACAACAACAACAACAACATCATGCCGCCGCCGGGAATGGTAACAATAGTGACAACAAAAATGACAACAGAGAAACAACATTAATGATAACAACCACAACAACAACAACAACAACAGCAATATTAGTTCATCACTAAGATCACGACAGATGCTGCAAACATGAGAAGTCATAAAAGGTCCCAATCACATGCACCCCTAACGACATCAACGACGACAAAAATACCAACACCGAAGTATCCACACACACACGCAAATTTGCACACGGTGATTTCCACAACAAGAGTAGCAACAAATAATGCCATCTTAATAACCTAGTCACATGTTAAAAACTGTCCAAACCCGCCATGCGAGTGGTGACTCACTGCGACTGGGGAATGGTGCTCTAAACTGTTGACACAGTAAGTCTCTGTAACGCGTAATCCAATAACGCGGCACATGGTGCCGTATATAGAAGAGCAACCACACGGGTGCTTCTGTGCACCCAACAGCCACTCTCATGCGCGCTTCACATCACTGACACACTTCCACAGATGCCATGCGGACTCTCATGTTGCTGTCTGTTTCGTGTCGGTCTGTGTTTGTTGCTGCTAGGGCAGACCAAGGGATCACGCAGTGGGAGCCAAGTAGCACCGTGCAGCAGAAACAAGTTGGTTTATGCACAAGCATATGGAGCTGCTGCATAACATATATATATAAATATAACTTTACTTTTCTGCTCTACGGAAGTGCCTTCTCCTCCCAAAAGATGAGCTACTGAGCTTTACCTTTGCCAGGGCAATCTTTACTATCTACTCTTGCATAATGTCAACTTGCTACTCATTCCTACTTACCTCTCTGAAATGAATACCTGCATGCCATTCACTCTTCACTTTTACCTTTCCACAATGACAATCCGTCATTTATTCTTACCTAACTATCTGCAAAGACAACCTGTCATTCACTCTTAGTCTTAACCACTTTTCTGCAATGTTTCACAGTCTTACCAATTGCTGTGCAATGGTACCTTCTATCTACTCTCACCTTCTCCTGCGCAATGTTGACCTGTTCCTCAGACTGTTCATGCTTCTGTTGGAGATGTCTGTTGCGCTCTAGCAAACTCTGCCCGATCTTCGCCGCTAGTTCGAGATCTTTCTCTTTCTGCAAGGAAGTTAATACGGCATGTTATTGTATGCATATACAAGCGAAATGGTCTTACAGTTCAATGACATATCATGACAATATCTTCACGAGAAGATGTGTGGCTTTTGACAATACACTATGTTATTATAAATAAACCTTCAAAGATCGCTTTTCGTCACTACAATTCTTCTGTCCGTCCATCCGATCCCATCAGTCTATTTTTTTGCCTGCCTGCCTGCCTGCCTGCCTGCCTGCCTGACTGCTTCCTTACCTGTATGCCTGCCTGCCTGCCTGCCTGCTTCCTTACCTGTATGCCTGCCTGCCTG